TAACTTTATCTTTTTCCTTTCTTAAGCGATATTCGGAGAGGTTTTCATATCCGTAGAGCATGAGAGTAGGGTTTTTGTTTTCTTCTGCTTTATAACACCCTGCTTTATAACATCCTGATTGCATCATTACTATTTAAAATCGTTGAACATTGCAATCCTTGGTGAATATATGTAGGTTTTCGTCGAGGTTTTCCAGTATTCGGTGAGTCTTAACCATTGATCTTGCTATTAGTTGGTTAACATAAAATATATAATTTGAATAATTAATTTATTAAATTTCCATGTTCATATGTATGGTGAAGTGTTTAGCATGGAAAAATGATGCACACATAAATAATCATTAAATATTTCTTGAAAACGCTAGAAAATAAATATTTTAAATATGGATGGAAACATTTGAATTGACGGTTTTTCATTTATTCAGAAACCCTATCTAGCAATTCTTTAAGCATTTTCTAGAGAAGTTTATATACACTGTCAAACGGTCAAACTTTTGTTTATTCAGAAACCTTACCCAAATTAAACATCTAGCAACTCTAATGTTTTATGTCCTTCAAGCATTTTACAGAGTGATTTCCAAATCCGACGAGTCTTAACTACAACACTTTAAGTAGGTTTTTGTTTCATTTTGCTCCATAACATCTTGATTACATCTTTACCTTTTGAAATCACCGAATGTTGCAATTGTCGGCGAACGGCTATGTATCCAATATTCGGCGGGTTTTACCCATTATCTTGCTAATAAATGGTTGACATTAAGAAATATTAATTGAGAAGAATCAGTTTACTAAATTTTCTAGCGAAGTTTTTAGTGTGAAAAAATGATGCACGCATAAATAAGCTTTGATTATTTCTTGAAAAATTAAGAAAATAGCGAGGATAAAAAAATTAACATCGATGGCTTTTCATTTATTTGGAACCCTATCAATAAGTTCTTCAAGTAGTTTTCCGAGAGGTTTCCATATTCCGACAAATCAACTGTGAAACTTTCGTTTATTCAAAACTCTGCCCAAACATCAGGTAACTTTGTCGTTTTTCGTTCTTCAAGCGGTTTCCGAAGAGGTTTTCATATCTAATGAGTCTTACTCACAAAACTTCATGTAGATTTTTGTTTCCATATGCTCCATAACATCCTGATTACATTGTTAATTTTTTGTTCAACCTATTTCTAAATACTTCTTTTCTAGGTTTTAAGAAATATTTAATGCTTACCTATAAGTGCATCATTTTTCGACGCTAAAAACTTGTTCATAAATATGAACCAAAAAAAATTTA